TATATATTTATATGGTGACTGTGAATAATTTGTTTTTGTTTTGAATAATTTTTTTGTTTGTTTTTCAAATGATCATTGTATGGTGCCTTCCATTTTTCATATAAAAATGAATGAAGCTGTCTAATGGGGGGCAACATTCATGACGAAATCATACTATGAGAAATATAGTATATGTAAGCATTTATTCTTGGAGGCATGGGTAAATTTTACTTATGGGACCTGCATTTTTGCTCAATTTCTGTTAAATTCATAATGACATAGTGTAATATTTCATGTGTTTTTGTTCTGAGGGTGTATTAACCTCATTTAAGACTTGATAATGACCAGAAGATCTGGGATGAGGTGTTTTTACTTTTTAACCACGACCATAGGTCACGTAGTCCACGTGTGAAACCAAGTGAACTTTTTTTTTTACTATAAATGCTCCTCTCCGATGGGCCCTCACGTTCAAGGCCACAGTGGCTGACGGTTCTCCGCTCCCATACATGAACTGATTAGATTCTCACACGTGCTACAGAATATCAATGATCCTCCAGCCACGTCCATCTGCATAGTTGCACGTAGTCCCATCTGCATACTGCACGCTGCAATGAAGGCGCATGGTGGTTGGTTAGCTCTACCTGCATGTTACAGCTCAGCAGATCATCTCAAAAACCTCCCACAGATGTCCTCTTTAGACAAACATGTAAATCAGACAAGAGCTACTGCTTGGAACCTGCGTGTTTATTTAAATTTGTGGTACAACAAATGGCTTGGTGAAACGAGCAAAGGCTTTTGCAAACAGATGATTTATCCAGTAAAGCATCCAGGTTATAGTTTTTAATATGTGAGTGTAAATCAGACGGCATGGCAAACACCCAAATCAGTTATATGATGGAGAATATCATCAAAAGATCACAAGACAGTCATTTAAATTTCTGAGCTCCTCTCAAAGCAGATATATCTGCTCGACGAAACAAAGTGTTTTGATATGAAATATGAAGATTATGAGTAAAAGCTTAAAAAATAAATACTCGGAAGCTCATATTTTCAGATTTTTGAGGGAACAGCAATAATATGAAGATTGGTGATTGGATTACATCTAGATAAACTATTAAATAACAAAGGTATTTCCCCACCAAGTATCAATACAACTCTGTACACTTAGACATCATGTTTCAGCAGTAAGAATAACAAGGAAGAAATTTGGAATTGTAAGTTGCTCCCCTTTAGAGAAATAGATTATTTTTTGAAATGGGCTTGTTTGTTTTTTTAATGCTGAGAGAAATATGACATGTCTGTTAGAAGAAAGCCCAGAACCAGCTGCTGGTTAGGTTAGCGTGAAGACTGGAAACCAGTGAAAACAACTAATGTGCCTCTGTCCTAAGGCCAAAACAAAACAAAAAAGAAAAAATAACTTTGTACCATCATCTCCTTTCTTTAAAGTTTAATAGTTAAGTAGTAATATTATGAGCCTCTGCCTGATTGAACCACTAATCTTGCTTTTCAATTTTTGAGTTAAATTACTGTCACATACAAGCAGTTTCCTCCATCTTTCTGTTTAACAGGCGGTGGATGTGGCTTAAAGTGGCAATAATTACTTTAAATCCTCATTAAGAAAATGTGGATTACATAATGTACACATTTACACATTTGCCTGACAAGCAAACAATCCCTGGTTAAATCCCAGGAGAAACATATCCCTTTGGGGTTGCATAAGGAAGGGTATCAACTGTAAGTCAAATATGTGGTGGCCCCCTTTGACTGATGCAGCAGCTGAAAGTAGCTATTACAATGTAGTGGCTATCAGAGGCTCCAATCATAAAAATTCTATGACTCCATCCTGAAAGAGCAGAAAGTATACTTGATTTAAACATGGCCAAGCACCTTCTGTCCCTTAAAAGACTTCTCCCGCTCCTGGGCAGCTTCTGTCTCATGACGGCTTTCTGGAAGACCTATTTGGATCATTTGTACATCATTTGAGGGTAGGTATAGCCAAATTTAAATGGGATATGTTCCTCGAATGTTTGGCACCAGTTCGTGGAGGTCTCTGGCTCTCACTGGATGAAATCGTTAGCAAACATGATGTTTCACCAAAACCCACAGGTGTTGCATGTGGTTTTAATGTTCATCTGCAAATACTTGCTATACACTAGCCCAACTTGAAGAAAAATTGTGGCTTTTGAATAAATTCAGCTGAGACACAACTTTTACTGTGAAGGTGAACTTTCTCTATTTCCTGTCTGTGTCACACTCACACACTTCAATTCAAACTACGACCACAGCAATATGCTAGCAACCAAAGCAATCACAAGGAGATTTTGGTCAACTAGTTGGCAGTTTTTCTCCTGGTGCCTGCTGGTGCCATGGGGTCACTGAATAGGCCTGCACAACTGGATCTTTAGCAACCACTTCCCCAGCAGCTGCCATTAACCCCCAGCAACCACTCTCAATCAGTCAGGAAATGCTCATTTTTCCCTCGCAACTGGTGGTTGCTAGATGGTTGCAAACCAGTCTCTAGATGCGCATACTACTATAGCTTACATATATAAGCTATA